ATATTTTTATCTGGCAGGACTACGCCTAAAGAAAGAATATCTTTCTTTTCCGCGTATTAAAATTCATATATAATGGAGAAGTCACGGTAAAAGAAAGGTTAGGAATTTAATTAATTCGTTTCCATTAGAAATGTATGAAATGAAATGCTTTAATAACGGAATATTCTTGTTCTCTCTTTGTTTCACGGCAGTAATGAAGGCATTCATTTTGAAGTACGTAACTGGCGAACTCACAGTCCAGACATGAATTTCGAAGCGACTCATTATGCAAAGATTTCGTGTACCTACATCGAGTTTAAAACCGTAGCACATGCTGCAGTGGCTTGGGGCATACGGCAATACGGGAATCATTCAACGAGATTCGATTGATGCAATATTTATATCAATTTTGATTTATTTTAATAAATTAGAAAGTGGCTAGTAAAAACTTATTCAAACATTTTAAAAATGGGATCTGTAAACGGCCGGAAAAGTCACATAAAATACTTTTACTGTTGGAGGCACTATTTGACACACTATTTATACATATCGAATTGATAACGCGAAAAGTTCATTTTCTATGAGAACTATTATGGGTACGCCAGGTTGACGCCAGCTAAGAATGTTTAGTTCAATATCTTTGGTCCTTTATGACTATTGATTATGAAATTTTGTAAAGCCAGGGCACTATTTGAGCACTATTTTTGTGTACCAATTTCGTTGCTTAAATATATGCCGTTCTTGGGGTCGGCCATGGGTACGCTAGCTTGACGTCATGGTAGCGTACACAGTAAAAATGATCTTTATTTCTTAATTGAAAGAGGCACTGTTTTTTTGATTTTTACACTAATTTGGCACTATTTATGCAGTATTTAATGGCATAACGAAAAACCGTATATTGATCGTGGGTACGCTAGCATCACGGACACCTACCACTTAGTAGGCTGTAACTAGGTACTTTACCAAAATACTATACTTTATCATAGCGAAAGAAAATATTAGCGTCTTTGGTGTTATAATGTATAATGGCATACATTCACATACCAAACTGTGTGTCCCATTTTAAAGTTTCTTGGAAACTTCAATGAACTATTTATTACTTCAATACTTTCTCACTTAAAATTTACTAAGAATTGCACAAAGAATTCAGTTGAGAAATTTGTTCGGACGGGGTGTAAATGGAATAATTCTATGGAAAATATGAAAAGGAACGACGTCACGAGCGTCTTGACTATTGATATATGTGTGTGTGTGTGTGTGTGTGGGATGCGTGCGCAGCTCTTCCCGACGAGCATGAAAGTTGGAGGGTAATACCTCGGCAAAGGCTGCCGCCTAGGAACAATATAATAATATATGAGTGATGCATGCGCTGCTCCATTCCCCTAAGCCTTATGCACCGCCTAATGTTAGGTTATTCAAGAAAAGATGTTTCTCCTCAGATGTGTGGTCTGTGCACATTATTTTTTTTATACCAGCGAATTGCAGTGAAGTCTCAAAAACCATTTCGTCTTCACGAATAAAAGATAATATTCGTGTTTAAACTATTATTATTATATTAATTGGTATTGTTAACTATTTTGTGATCACAAATACAAGAAGAAAAAAAGTTAGATTCGAATGGTTGGAAGATAGATCAGGTACCTATGATGCAATCTATTTTGGTGAACCCAGCTCTCCAGTATTCCAGTCACCCCTCTTAGTTCGTTCATTCGCTAAGGTAAGAAGAAATCCACTGAAGACCTGAAACTCAACTGTACCAGAATCATTGCTAAAACTCGTTTATTCACTTTGAAATAACTAGCGTTTTTATTACGATAAGGTACCAAAATCTTCTGGAACATTTTGATGTTTCGTAATAACATTTTCTCGTTACCAAGTACATATTTTGGATTGTTAGTAGGTAAACGTACTTATTTAAGCCTTGATACTTTTAACATCTATATAAGTACCAGATCCGATTAGTATATAAGAAAATAATTGTATATTTTAAATTTAAATTGGTCTCTTGTGGTTTCAAATGATATAACTTTCATGCATACTAAGCACTTACTAAAAGCGGCTTATAAGACATGAATATTTTGGAGTACAATATATGCACATCTAAATGTTCTGTATCGTCAATTATCTTAATAAATTGATATGCCTACATATTACCCTCTTGAAAATCTTCCAAATTTAAATTCAATTAGGTTTTGATTACATCGTTAATTAATAAAAAAAAACTACCTACTTTGTAGATATATTTATTGCTTAGGTCCTTATATGTTGCTCCTTGTCCTAGTATGGTGGTGAATAAGATAAAGTTTAGTAATAAAATTCAAAAGATTTATACGTTCATTACTCCAAATCTTCCAATTCGACATCCGCTTTTGTTTCCGAATTCGAACCTCCTATATTTGAAATTATTGTCTATGCCAAGTGCAATAGTTTACCAAAATCTTGAAATTTATAAATTAAGGTATCCAATTAACTATTTCGAATAGTTTAGCTGATTTTTCAAGTTCAAGTCCCGTGTAAACTTGAACAGTGTGGTTTTTTTTCTAGTAAGAAAAAACTTTAGATTTGAAGATCTATCAGTTGAATGCTTAAAAAATATAAATATAATAACATTTTATTACGTTTCCATTGCTACGACAGAAAGCCGCAACACGAAAATGAAAATGTATTTTGTGTCGATACACCAACACGTGAACAAATTGTGCAGGTAACAAGTTTTCATTCCGGGAATGGAAAATTGTGCAATCCAGTCAAATTCAATTAGTTAATCTTTTTTAGTGGCGATTTCTCTCGGTGAACATGAAATAACGGGTTCACTACACCAGCGCTATTGCAAAAAAAACCATTGTTTCACCATTTGTAAGATGGAATCATATTATCCTCTTTTCAGAGTTTACAATTGAAATACTTTATTAAACTATGCAAAATGTTATTGAATACAAAATCCCTTAATAGAGAAATCAGTGCAAAGAATAACTAATCAAGCGCGGCGATATTCTCAATATTGTGTCAAAATGGCGTGTGCTACGTGTACTACATGTGTTAATCAAGCTAATCCCTTCAAGGACGAAGCCTTCGTATAATTAGGATAGAACTTCACTACAAGTGAGTTCGTTTAATCTCTAATTATATTAGCCAACACAGTAAAAATAACACTACCTTTTGGATGCGTTGTGTATCTGTTTCGGGGCTCCATGGTTCCTGAGATCCAGAACAGCATAATGAGGAGGCGGCGCACTTTTCTGTCGCAATAGGTATTTTCGGACTGAGCGATTATAGTCTATTACGCCTCATAAGAAACGGGACAAGTGCGAGCGGTCTCGCCCACCAAGGGTTAAACATTAATGGTCCTATTTTTTTTACATTAACTTAGAATTTCGATTTTGTCACAGCTAGAAGTGACCGTAGACCTGAGTATAAATATGGTGTAAATTACAACCTACCTACGCACTTTCCCCAGATTTTCCAGAACAGACAGATGGTCAACAAAGTGATCCTATAAGGGTTCCGTATTATTATTCTGAAATTATGTTTTGACATGTAATTTATTACGGAATAAATGATTATTATTATAACGCCTGGAAGCAGGCCTCTCTCCCTGTTCGTTTCGGAGGTCTAGGTACTCGTCATATTTCCCATATAGCCCTTCCTGCTTCTCTGTCTTCTGCATATGGTACCGCCGAGCTCTTTAATAAAATACTATGCTCGTCTTTGGGCGTAGAGGTGTTGGTTCACCTTGCAGAAGCCAGAGAAGCGCTTGGTCTAGGGCATGCCCGGGAGTGGATCCACCAACCTCTCTATCTTCTCGGAAACAGTGGGACAAGCCGCTGTGTTTGCGTTTTCAGAGTGATCTTTTAGCTTCTTCTGAAAACGCCACTGAGCGTGCTCGACTTCTAGCGGTCTTTCAGGCAGAGTCTGGTTACTGGCTGCAAGCTTTACCTTCAGCCAATATCGGGACTTTGCTTAACAAGAGCACTCTGTCTCCGACTATATCGCTTCGACTTGGTGTCAAGACAAATCATCCCCATCGTTGTCGTTGCGGTACTCGCGTCGGTGAGTTGGGTCACCATGTGCTCTCATGCCAAATGAGCGCTGGCCGAGTCTCCCGCCGCGCCTGCGTCAATGAAGTCATCCGCAGAGCTCTTGTAGCCGTCAACGTGCCAGCGTTCCTTGAGCCAATCGGCATCTTTCGTGACGATGGCAAGAGACCTGACGGAATGGCGCTCATTCCGTGGAAGCAAGGTCGCCCTCTTGTATACTGCAGGCGCGGCGGCGGCAAATATTCAGCTCTCAATGAGAACTATATATTTGTGCCATTTGGTGTTGAGACCATTGGCCCATGGGGTCCAAGCGCTCGTTCTTTTTTTAAGGAATTATCAAAGAGACTCACTGAGGTGACTGGTGACCAAAAGGCTGGCAGCTATCTTGGTCAACGGATCAGCCTTGCCATTCAACGTGGCAATGCTGCCAGCCTATTGGGCGCCATTCCTGACGCGTTTATTTTTCATTTTGTAAATTAGATATTATTTTTAAGTAAAGGTTTTTAAGGTAATTTGTATTAAAATTTTAAACATTACGTAGTTTTTAAGTTGTTGTTATTGTATTTCTATATATTGTAATTCTGTAAATAAATTTATACATCAATGATTATGATTATTTTCCTTTGGAGGTACGGAACCCTAAAAAGACATTTGCTAAAATGATGATTTAGGATTTGTTAACATGTTTAGCGCGTTCGTTGAAGTTAAGCAACTTTCGCAGTGGTCGGTCATTGGATTGGTGGCCAAAAATCTTCTATCTCGAGTTCCTCCGTGCTTCGGAAGGCATGTTAAGCCGTTGAACCCGGCTGCATCTGCAGGCGTTAGCACCCGCCAATCCGGACTGGGCCCGCGTGGTGGGTCATGACCCAACCTCCCTATTCCGTCCATAGGGAAGGCCTGTGCCCCAGCACTGGGGACATTAATAGGCTGATGATTAAAGCAACGTTTATGAAATAATAGTAATTTATACCTGTTTTGTTATAGCGTTTAACCCCGACACCCAGCATCAACTTTCCGGACTTTCCTGAGTGCGTGATCAACGTGGACGTTAAAACCAACGGCGAGACTACTGACGAGAGCACCCCGCTGAGCGCCCAGCACCAATTGCAGCTGCTCCGAGAGCGGCTGGAGCAACAAGTGCAACAGACTCGAGCGGCGGTCGCGCAGTTGCTGCTGCTAAGAGACCAGCTCGCTGCGGAACAAGCGGCACGCTGTGAAGCACAGGTATAACACATAACCATAAATCTTATTTCGATAGAAGCATCCGATTCTGGACACTGTTGCTTCATTCGTACTTGTATACAGTACGTCCAACAACATGTGCAGTTTTTCACACGGACATTTTCTGATGCTGATTAGAGACCAGCTCGATGTGTTGAAACTGGCACCCTGCGCGGTATAACAAATCTTATTTCTAGAGAAGCATCTAACACTGGCTGCTGTTGCTTTAGTAATGTTTAGTATAGCAAGTGCATCAGCTCGTCTCTGACTGTTTTGAGAGCAGCTGACTGGGACCTAAACGCGATGGTGAGACTCCCGACGAGAGCACTCTCCCTAGCGGCTGAAGCAACAGGTGCAGTAGTCTCGAGCGGCGTTTGCGGAGGTGTAGCTGTCACCTGCTACTGTGAGAGTGACCAGCTCGTTGCGGAATAAGCGGCTGTGAGGAACAGATATAACACAACCATAAATGCTACTACAATAGAAATGTTCAATTCTGACCGCTGTAGCTTCAGTAATGCTTGGAATGCCACTATCACATGCGGACGCTCATCTGCAGCTGCTAAGCGACTGGCACGTTGCGCAACAATTATATGCTGAGAATCACAAATTGGGCGTACATAAGCATATCTTCTGCTCGAAGAAGAAGTCGATAGCACAAAGGCTACTTCTGCAAATGTTTGATTTGTAGTTACTAAAGTTAGGTAAGTATGTTCACAGCTTACCATCATACATTGTGGTAAAAAAAGGACTTAAAGTATTTTAAGCTTCGTTAGATTTACTCGTTAAGCTGCCGGTTTGGTTTGCATTAGCACTTGTAAACATCGAACCAATGTGCCCGCATGTTGTGGTGGATTTAACCCCGGACTCTGAATTTATTTCTGTCTATAGGGAAAGCTTATGTTATATGTACGTGAAAAATTTGTTAGACATTTGATAATGTTGATATCTCCAACGACAGCCTCTTGATTTCCTGTCGTATGTAAATTTGATAGAACTAATAATATAAGAAATGCTAGACTCTTCAAATTTGAACTGAAGTTGGTACAGTTCATACCTCAACAACATTTTTTTTATGTTTTGCATTTTTTGATCGCACCGAGAAACTAGTATTACCACTTGCTGTTGACAAATTCCTTTTTTTCATATAAATGCGTCACATTCATTTAAATTGATATATCCGTTACAGTTAACGTGAAAAACTCTTTGGACGAGTAAAATCTGGAAGAAAAGGTATTCCTAATGATCTGATATTATTCAAATTTGGAGGAAAGGTTTCCGGCTCCTTGAGGACTATTCTTTCGTAATGAAGTTATGTCGGAATAGGATTTTAAGGGAGAAGGGATCAGTGTGTCCCATTGTTAGGGGACAAAGGGTGGAACGAAAGAATTTTTTTGATAGGATTATAGGATAGGCTCCATGTATTCCAGATATTCAACAAATTGAGGTTAGAACTTAGAATATCATGCTGAAACGAAATTAATTAATACTATTTGCATTTGGTGGTGCTTTAGAATTACTGTTCCTGCACTATTAATATATAAATAAATAAATATTATATTAAATTATAGTAATATTTTATGACAATAAAAGGACAGGATTTGAATATTATTAACCATATATTACAAAAAATAAAATAAAAATATAGACAGTTAAAAAGTTATCAATATCAGTTACTGATATTGATAACTTTTTAACTGTCTATATGTCTCTATATATGTCTCTATATATATGTCTCTATCTGTTAATAATATTCAAATCATATTTCTGTACAATTAAACAAGTTTTTTGTTACTACAGATTAATGTATATTTTTGAATTATTTCTGTAAATAACTTGATGCGTAGTAAGTTATTTGCTGTGCATTTAAAAATATCCCAATATTAATTAGTTGTGTAATTCTAGAAAATAGGGTATTGTACTACTTAGAATTCAAATGTTCAGTAGGTATATAATAAGGAGTACAAGCAACAAGTAAATCCCTTGTTTTTGATATTTCTGATCATAAAATTCCGTGAAGCAACGTTCCAACGGAATAAAATATTTTTTAATTGGTTTTCATTCCGTCCAAAATAATAGTGTTCATCACACAAATAAATTCTCCTATGGTGCTTCGAGCCAAGACCTTTGAAGTAGAAGGCAGAAGATTGCGTGGAACATACCCGTTGGCGGTTAATAACTACAACAATACTTGCCTTTTTTTATGGCCGCGGACTTTTTTATCCGGCAAAATAGATCGCTTACAACTGTACCGTGTAACGCACACGAGGGATTCAAAGTACCGCATACAAAAAGTCCCCCGAACACCCGAGGACACTGAGAAATCGGACTGAGAAAAGTACGTTGGTGTCTTGGAAAAAAATTAAACTCTTGTGACTAAGCGTGGCAAAGCACACAGCAAAATTTAGGCAGCGTTGCGTGCTAGATCTGAATAAAGGTTACAAAATACCATGATCTCAGAATATTTCGAGCCGTTACCGCCAAATTATCGTAAGCGACACTCTTGTCGAAATGCGTTTTTTGTGGAAACTAATATTTTAAACCGTAACGGACCCATCTCTGTTGATATTTCCCTCTATTCTTCCCTCTATTATATTATAACGGTGTTCTTTTGGAGGGAAATATCAACAGAGATGGGTCCGTTACGGTTTAAAATATTAGTTTCCACAAAAAACGCATTTCGACAAAAGTGTCGCTTACGATAATTTGGCGGTAACGGCTCGATTTATTTCCATAGCGTGTGCTTCTCTAAATTTTCGGGCAACAAATGTTCGCACATCGTGTGCGTTGAGTCCGTAACAAGTCCTAGGTGGACAATTTTTTCACAAATCAAAGTACCTTTGTCTTCCACGGACAAAAGTCTTTCGTGCACCCGAATACGGGCTAACGACCAAAGTTATTAAAAGCCATTAGCGATTGCTTAGCATCGCATTATTAAGATCCTGATACATGTTATCTTTAATACCTCTACCGAAGCTACTCAAATGCTTGGCCTTATTTTTCAATTATCCTTTTCGTTTTCGCATTTATGTGTGACTCCATTCGAATGCCATCGCAAGAACATTTAAAAATAGACTCTCTTGGCTGTCCTCTGTAAAAACGGAATTCAACTTTACTAATATTATTGGTAATACTTCCAATTTGGGCCATAGATTCTTTTTATTTGAATAAATAGAAGGCGAAACCCGCTTAATTTATTTATTCTGTATCGTTACAGGCCCGTACACATCAGCTCTTAGTTCATAACAAGGAACTTTTAGAGCATATAGCAGCACTGGTCGCACATTTGCAAGAAAGAGAGAGAGGAACTGCTAAACCAATCAACGCACAGCAACTGACACTATTGCCACAGGTTAGTACATATTTTATGTTTGTATGGCAGTAAAAATTTTCAGTATTAAATATCAGAGGCGTATTTGCCCTATGGGCTAAAGGGCTAAAGACTCAGCCGCAAGTTACGATGGATGGTGTAACTTATACAGACGTTTAAAAAAAAATATTTTTCATCTTCAAAAAGCCTAAAAAGCTTCTTAGGCCCGGTTAAATGTTTTTAAAATACGCCTCTGACTAAAGAAAATCTCTAGTTTAATGCTTTCATACTCACTAAGCATTTATTAAAATATCCCCTAGCTTAGCAATGTTTTAGAAGTTCCATTTTGATTTTGTCCTGTCCGCTTTGTGACTTTGTGTAAAGCTTCATTACATTTTTTTTTTCATTATCGTCACTACACTTAATATTACGCAAGCTAAGTCGTTTCTTAAATTTAGAATTTTATCTATTATTCGATTATCATTAATGATTTATTGATCAAATCATGATTCCACTGCGTAGAAAGATCATTTAGTTATATTAAAAATACTATACTATATAATTTTTAAGAGTGTGAGTGAGAATACTGCTACAATAATAGAAATAAAATTTTAAGAAGTCGATTTTATTATATTGAGTATTCAAGCAGATTTCATTATGGGACTAAATAAGAGGTGGGCCCTTTATGATTCCGAGAATCTTTCCATCTGCCGCTGTGAAACATAATCCGATTGCTCGCACACTTGGTTTGTGCCAGGATTGATAGGTGTAAAATTATATTATTCACAGAAACGGTACGGTAGATTCCTAAGCCACAAACTTAATACTAATGCCTAATTGAATTATTTTAATTTATTTAGGACAAAAAACAATTATTATTTCATTCACTTAATTTGGACCAACAATTTTATAGTAGTCCTGAAACCAAACTTACATATAAATAGGATATTTATATTTCATGTTATTGCTTTAACTAATTAATTCATAATTTCAGAACTCGATTTAGAAATAATCTAGTAAAAGACTTTTCTGAAGTGTGATTTATTAAATGATATTATTATATACTGGTAAATTAGTCAAAACGAAATATATTTTTTGTTAAAAATGGCTTCAATATAATGGTTTGCTCGTTGCGTTAATTTCAAATTGATTGCCTATTATTTTCTGCTGAATTTCTGCTGAATATTGTTTCGTGTTGATTTCGCATTATTGCGGAATCGGGGCCGTCGAAGCATTGTGTTTTGTACAAATTGCTTTATTATTTTTGACTTCATTTAAAATGATAAACGATTTTATCGCTAGAAAATCTTATTACTGCACAATAAATTTTGTTTGATATAGTTTATCTATAAAATATAGTGTAGGAATCAATGATATTTTGTTATTGTAACGACAATAATTCCTAGTTATACGACTGATCCATTAAAATATGAATAATTTTACCTTGGGTGGAGTATATAAAAAAAATCACTAAGGGCATATTGAAATGTTATCATTAATAAGCTGTCCAGCTTCTTATGCATTTAATAATTGTTTTTTGCATACAGACCTTTACCCTCCGTTTTACCCGCGTAACAGACTTCAAAAAAATCGGTTTAGTTAATATTTTCATTAATAATATGTTTTTTATACGCCGTGAATTATGAGTTGCCTAAGAAACGGGAAATATTATTCGTTTATAGTACATAGATACTAAAAGGAGTCTTATTGGAATCGATGTATGACAACTGAACTGGTTTCATAATTGCACAATTATTCATTTATCGTAAGAATAAATTATAGATTCTAAATAAAAAGGCTGGGCCTTTTTGTTTCGGATATATAACCTACATATAATAATATGGTTGTCTGAATTCGTTAGTAATTTTTTTCAGGTAACACAAAATTCACGGTTTTAAGTTGAAATAGATACTATTTCAATAGATATAAATATTCGAAACAATACGTAAAGAGAAATTTTACGCATCATTAACTTTACTTTAATTTATTCCAATTCTACCTAACCAATAATTTTTTCAGGACCTAAACCTTACATTTATTTATGCTGTGTCTATGATGACCACAATTTTGAGTTATATACCCCAATTCCTATTTACTTTCATTAAATTTCTGTGATGATGGCCTTACTTGTTGTGACTTTGATTCTGAAATCTACTATTTTAAAACAAATAAGTTTTGTTTTACTTTTGATTTGATCAGAGGATTTGTATTTGATAGTATAATAATTATCATCTATCACTAGAAAGCAATTACATAATAGTGTACTTCATGTTTAGCTCTTAACAATAATTCTTAAGTTAAAGTTTCACCAATTTTCAAAATGCACGATTTGTTTTATACTCTTGGCATTAGAATTGCAAACGTCATTTCTTTGTACGCAACTCTAGTTTTGCAAGCGAAAAACTAAATTGTAACAGCATGTATGTTCATTGTGTTGATTGTTTTGGCATATTTGTTTTTGATGTGTTTTTTTTTTATAATTAGTAAACATACAGGCGTGCATGTTCTAAATATAGTTATTATTTTTCATTTCATTGTCACTTACTTTAGTTCTTGCTTACATGTTTTTGTTTGTTATCTAAGTGTTAGCTTATTTTAGTATAATGGTATTAATCCAATGATATTTTATAATTGCTTAATAATTTTAATGAGTTATAGTCGCCGGCACGTCACGAGATGCTATTAATTATGTAAACCAATATCTTTTACCAAGTTTAATAGCGACACTAATTGTCAATTAAGAATAAACTTACAACCAAAGTTTATTAATTTAAACATTGGTTTAAAATTTATTCATAATATAATCACAAATTAAAGTTGAAACTCACTTCTATGTGATTCAATAACTACGATTTTAAGCACTTGGATAGATATTTAAAAGTTAATTTATTCGAATTTTTAATAATTTTGTGACAGTCGCCAAATATGTGTTCATATAAATTCCAGCTTCTCGTGACGGCAGCTATATTTATTATTTTTCTAGTTTAGAATGTATTTATGCTGTTCTAAAGTTTAAATAACATTTACTTATAATGCTGCATTTAGGCGAGAGCTGATCTTGGAAAAGATATCACCAAATCAAAGATACAACCAATGATGAATGGAAATCTTCAACAGATCAACGCAGAGCAACTCATCAATCTGATAACACAGAGCACTAATACTAATAAAAACGTCGAAAGTAATAACAACACATTTTCCCCGTTCTGTACTACTCCTACATTGCCACAAAGCCCGGGCTCTGCTCCATCATTTGGTGGAATGACAAACGAACAAATTCAAAATTATTTGATTTCTAAATTTCAAGACATGGGAGGATTTCCTTTAGTGCCTGAGACGAAGACAAACAACCAACAATTTTTCCAGAACTGCAACGCTTTCCCAAATATACCACCGCTGACAAATCACTACAGCCACACCGATATCGCTAGTCTACTGAACCATAATGTGTACAAGGAGAAAAGTAGTTCCACTGACGAATTAGGTGCAATGGCTCAAGCGATGAGCTTAGGTCATTCCGAAAATTCTCTATGCAGCAACAGCCAAGCTACAACTTCAAAAGACTCTACACCAGAAGCGTTCAGTTCGGACGAAGGAGTTGCCTTTATAATGCCCCTGTCGCACAACGGTACTCTGACTGCAACAGGAGATGACGGTCGCGTGAGGCTCATTGTGCCAGTGAGTCCATCGGGAAGTACTTCCGATATAGGTGATATACCAAACGAAACCCAAAGTTATTCTGGAGTAACGTTGAAGGTTCCCGAACGTTTATCTCCAGCCGCCCCAATCACTCGCACCACCAGCGAAAAAGTGCCAAACAGAAGTGAGATGATGACTGCATTACGGTCTCAATGGACAAGGCATACCACAAAGTAGAATAAAATTGAATTAGTACTCTTTATTTTTGAATCGTTCTAAACTATACCTGTATTGTATATTTTATGTAACGTAGGATATATTATATTATGACCTCTGTGTTTGAATGATTATTGTTATTTCTGTGAGAGAAGAAATTTTGGTATTAAAGATTGAGACTTGAACAAAGGTGCCATATTTACAAACGTCACCTAAAGAGACGGCGTACATTAAATTAGGATAGAAAATACTATTCTATACTTATATGTTAACATATCTAAATTAGGACCATAATAGAGAGGACGTAAATTACAATTTTACATTAATGCGAATCTCGTCGTGGCTGATCTTTTCATATCAAATCTGAAAGTAGAATACAGTTTTATGGGCCATATAGCTATGATGATGTTAAAATAGAGCCAAAGCCATTGATACCTATGAGTCATAAAAAAAATATTGTACTTTAAGATCGATTTATGCAGCTTCAATACTAGTATTTTATGACTTCTGTTTAGAGTTTATTTATTGACTGTCCTTATTGCTGTCCATGTAAATTTATTTTAAATTCAGTTGTTGTTCTACTTTATTGGATATATATAATGAATGAATAAAATATATCAAGTGTTTCTAGTCAATTACCCGTTGATACTAGTAGTATGAGTTGTTATGATTTTTTTATGTAGTAAAGTAAGATTTTGTGTGCAGATTATATTATGAATATCATTTTACGTATTTGTTATATAGAATCATTATATGATATGATTACTTAAAATCATGTTTCTGTAAAATATGTTGTGGTGTTTTAACAAGTTATACCTACACTCATACTATAATGCCAAAACTTAGATTTTATTATAATGAAAGGACCAATGAAGTTATCATCACTGTGAACTGTCATAGAAATACTGACATTGTATAAATTATGATGGGCGCAATCACCTGAACCTTTGACAAATCAATGTAACAAATACTTAAAATTCTACATTAAAATACTAGCAGCATCAAAGCCCTGACAATATGATTTAATTTATAAATGATTATGGAAGGATTAGTATTGTTGGTTTATGTATTGGAAATTGTAACATGCACCCTTATTGGAGATACTTGTAAAATAAATGAGATTATTTTACCTTAAAACTTATTATACTTCGTTACAGCGGCGGCACATCAGGAGTTTAACTTAATCCTAGGTGCGTTTAACAAAGTTTCAATTCGGAAAATTCATTACCTTGTGACAATTTGATCTGCTGTTGATTGCGCATTCAGTCTACTATATCGGCAGTGTTTTATGATTATACTATGTCATAATATGACTATACATATCAGCGGATGGCATCAACTTCATTTGGCATTCAGTCATTTATCAAAAATTTAAACGTTTAATTTTGTAAGCCAGAATGATCTTAAGGCATTTAAATATAAAATTCACAATAACTAAAAAGCAGAACCAGTAGATAGCAGAAGGTTCACAGGCAGAACCGTCTTTTGCCAAACAAATATTTAACTTTTCCTTATTCATTTATCTATTATATCAGGTATCTCGCACTTCACTGACCCCAACTGAGGCACGCTCGCTTCGCTCGCTCAAATCGTGCTAGGTTTTGGTCAGGGCTTTCAAGTTCGGATTGTTTTCAACTCCGGAGCTACTTCCGAACTCCGGAGTGAAAACCTAAGTTGGCAGTATTTTTAGAAATATAGAAAAAAGGTCCTTTATTTTAGTAAACATTAGTTTTAACTGTCAAATAATGGGTCTTATAATCTCGGATTTATCACTGACCGACAAAGAAATGTGTAGTCCAGTAATTTCAAAGCAGATTTGCTGTGACAAACGGACAGATAACGAAAAAAATTGTAAAATAATCCTTAGACTGAATTCGACGGTTAGAATAAATAAACATAATTAACAATTTATGACATCACTAATTTCTACTTTTTGCTGCCTATTAATACCGTTGCCCAGGGTTCAGCCTAAGGGCAAGCCAGAAAGTCAAATATACTATTTTATAAGTATTTTTAAATAATGACAAACGAACATTGACGTTTTGTAAAAAATTGCTAATATCTTAAAATTATGAATTTCAATTTACTAGTAGTATAAATGCGTTTCTATTTAGGGCAAGCTGTTATTTTTTTTTTTTCATTTGGTTTTTAATAACCGGTTTTAACTCCGGTTTTCTATTGTGTTTGATAGTTTAATACATTTGGAATCTAAAACCTGGTTCGTGTCAGTATTTCGTTGAGGTGTCAGCAAAATTTTAATTGGTAACGCATAAATAAATGTTTGGGTTCGCATCAAGCGAGCATAGCAGAGCTAAGACCTATCATTCATCTATGTTGGAATGTATAGATTCATGCCAGGTGGCTTTACATAACATGCCAATACATCGTCAAATTAATAAAACCACTTTCTCGTAATATTCATTGAAGTAGAAAAAACCTTAATTATCCATTTTTGAACATGCGAATCCGGAGTGTTTGATAGTATGCTATCAAACACTCCGGATTCGCATGTTAGTCGATAATTCATGTTTTTTTTTAACCCTGGATATAACAAATACTTAAAGTCGCTCCAAAACTCCGGCACTTCGGATGGTAACTGAAAGCCCTAGTCACAACACTAACCTAATCTGACCCACTGACCACAAATATCGATTATGTTATTAAAATTATCCAGAATAAAATATGCCACCGTAAACTTGGACATATGAACACATTTAGCCAAACAATGATAATATTTCAAAAAATATGCGCTACAAATATTTGCTCAAAGAAGACTGTGCCAAATGTGTTATGCCAAAAGAATTTCGGAGCAACAACATTCTGTCAGATAGAGGGAATCCATTAGTTACGGCACTTGTTAAGGATACGATTTTTAGTTGGGTCTAGACACGGTTTTAAACTGTAGTGGTCGTGGTCGTTAGTTAAGTATGGGACTAAAGAGGTTAGTTAACGACACCGGTACTAGTGACGGTATAAAACCTTCCCTAGACCTGGTATAAAACCGTCCCTAGACCCGGCGTAAAACCGTCTCGTTTACAAGCGCCCTGACTCTCGTAACACATACCAACGATATTAAATACATTTAATATTTTAAAATAAAATTCATGGACCACAGCTTAGTACTGTTTAATTCATTACCCCTAATGTCAATTGTTTTAAGATCAAATAAAGATAGAATGAGGTAAGATTTGTTTTTAATATAATTTGAGAAAATAGGTTCAAGTTCACTTTACTTTCTAAAAAACTATGTTATTTTATATAGCCGTTTTAGGAACTCACAAGATATACCCATTCCAGCGTGCATATGTGATCTTGAAGCTTTCATACCTTAGTAATATGACCGCAATATGGATGATGACTGTGTGCAGTAAACGAAATTCTTCTATCTAGAAAATCTATTTAGTCTGTCCGTTAGATTATTAAAAAATTATGGACACCAATTTTATCTTTAATCAATCAAGCAAAAAATAACAAAGATAAAGCAAAGCCCGCCTAACTTTGGGGGTGAGGGCACGTGACGTCACTTCTAAATAAAAAACACGGGTTGCACTCCGGGAGTGCCGGCAGAAGTGAAAACCTGAATATTAACGTTGTGCATTTTTGATATTTTGGAATGATTAGGGAATAATTTTGCACAAATTGCTTTAATTATCGGTAACACTTTATATACACGAATTTTACGAATACACAGCAGTGTGGCCACTACACAGACGGTCGAGCCATCAGCTGTCACCATCCATGGATGCGCGTGGCACGCTTTAACTAAAACACACACGAACATTCGCGCAAGCGCCCTGCGCCGCCAAAACGAAACAGTAGGCGCAGGCATACATTTTCGCCGCGCCGTAGAAAGAGAGGGGGATACTTCCTCTCCTACACCGCGCCGGCTGACTACTCTCCATCCTTCTTACAAATTTTCTATCAGGTCACGTGTCCTGAGGCGAGTTTAACATTTTTTACCCATTACAATAAAAGTGTACAACGCCGCTAAAGAAGTTTTCGTCTTACGAATTTTCCATCAGATCAGCTGTCCTGACGCGAGTTTATCATTGTTTACCCATTACAAAAAAAGTGTACAACGCTGCTAAAGAAGTTTTCACTTCAAAAATTGTACCAAAAAGTGACATTATGTGACATTTCAAATCAATATACACATCTCTGTAATATTTTGATTTAATAAAAAGGAAAAGAAAAAATACCTGTCCATTACTTTTTGATAAACTACCTGATGAACTAAGAAAAAAGTTAGTCATCACCCTATTGTGAAGATAAAATACTTATATTTTTTTAAGCGTTCACGTACTAGATGTTTAAATCTAAAGAAAATATTGTGCCCGGATAGCGAAGGGTGCGGGTTTGAGTCCCGTCTACTGCTTGGTCCGTGTGTACTTTTTCTAGTAAAATTTTCTTTAGATTTAAAGATAAAATAAATTTGGTGACATTAAGTTTCTTGTACTATCATCTTTTATGTGTACTGTGCCATTATACTCAAAGCAATAGTGTTTAATAAAAATATTTTACTTCATTGAATGTAATAGAAAATCCTGTGTAGCTGAGATTCCATGTTACTATTATCTGTATCGATCGTTAAAATGTTTCATTGTTGTAATTATCCATAGACGCAGCCACATTTATGACATATCAGAGAGTCTTGAATAAAGTATAGAAAGGTGATGTTTGATGTAGTATTATTTTTCTGGTGCAAATTATTATTAGGTAACTGATTTATATTTTCATTCTGAGTAAATTACCTTCGCGGAATGACACTATTAAAACTGACAATGATTTAGTAATGAAGAATATTATACGCATTCATTTTGTATGAAAGACGAGCTCAGTGTTCGTGGGTGCTTACGACTTGAATACAGTGACACAGTACATAAGCTAAACCAGTATGAAAACTAGGTTGAGATAAATACATACGCACCACGCCAATTGAGCGTTAGGGAGGATGTACGAAAGTAAGTACTCTGCCACTCGGCTCCTCTAGACTACACCAGGGTAGAACCACAATACAGAAAAGAGCAGTACTTTACTGTACTCAGTAAAGTGTACTCAGACTTCATACTACCGCCCGAATCAGCGCACACACACAGAGTAACATCATTTGCACGTCCGCTAACCAATCTTGGCAGGCCAAATCTACACAGTGCCACGCGCCGCTGAAGCTGGTTGTTGGCCGAATTAAGTTAGTTGCTAACGTCTGCCTTCGTTTCGCTTCCGTAGCGTGGCAATTAATAATGGTGACAAATCAAAGATATAAACCCAACACCACTACTATGTTCATATTTTCAAAAAAAAAATATAATTTAACTCAAGTAAAAAAAAAATTTAATGAATAATTAAATTTAACAACAGGACTTTAAACCTTGTCGCGATAGACGCAAATATTTTTCCATTATTAACCTATAATGTAAACAATAAATAATCATTAAATTAACATATGTTTTATTCCTTAACGTAAAACTATACACATACAATAGCAATCTACACAAATCTGTTCAAACTTTGTAGGTACGAGTACCAAACCTAGTACTTCACTCAGTCTTAGGTATATATTTCAATAACACGGCTGAGTTACGCTACTGCTATTTTCTGTATTGTGGTAGAACTGAATAAAAGCTTGCCTATTAGGGAATAGATAAAAAAAAACCGGCCAGGTACGAGTCGGACTCGCGCACCGAGGGTTCCCTACAAACCTGTAGGTATGTTTAATAATTATTAAAACATATTTTTTATTATATGATGTAACTAAAAATTTACGGCTTTCGCAATTTTTCCTTTATCAGTACCCCTAGCATGAACCAATATTGAATTCGTATCGTTTGCGAGTTCCAAATGTCATTGTCAAATGTGTACCGATTTTTAGTTCTCGTTACGTACTTTGTGCCGCTGCTGTTCAAGTTTCCATGCAAAACTTGACATTGATATTTCGGTTTGAAAACTATTTGAATTCGATAATGGTTCGTGCTAGGGGTACTGTACTATAAGACGTTACTTAGTACCAAATTTCAGGATTCTTAGTTCATGGGAAGTACCCTGTAGGTTTTGATTACCGTGCGAGTTTCGAAAATTTTAAATTAAAATTAAAAAAATATTTTTTTTATATGATGTGACTAAAAATTTACGGTTTCCGCATTTTTTCTTTTATCTGTACTATAAGCCGTTACTTCGCACCAAATTTCAGGATTCTAAGTTCACGGGAAGTACCCTGTAGGTATTGATTCGCGAGCGAGTTTCGAAAAATTGCGGCATAAACGGCTGTACCTTTTGATTGCTTTTGCTTAGAAGTTTGATTTTTTCACAGCTCCAAGGGACAGTAGACCTGTTTATTAGATATTAATTTCAGATGGATACCTTCACGCGTTCTTGAGAAAAACGGTCTTGACAGACGGCCGAACGATCAACAAAGTGACCCTCTAAGGGTTCCGTTTTCTCCTTTTGAGGTTCCGTACCTCAACCTAAAAAGGTCATGACCAGTTTCAACGCTTTTTCAAATAGCTAGGGGAAACTACCCAATCATTGGCACTCTTCCTATTGTTGGCACTTTTGAGTTTAGTACGAAAAAAGCAGGAAACAATAGATTGTAGGAATAATGCTGCCAATTTTCAAATTTGGAAACCATACTAGGTTTTTCTTTTTGATATGTAACGACCTTGAATAATCTATTGTCTCCTTGTTTTTCCGAATTAAACTCAAAAGTGCCAATGACTGGGTGGTTTCCCCTATATACCAAATAGACAGTATAATGTCTTTGTTATCTACTCACATACTTCACTCAACAAAGAACAAAACAAGGAAAATCTGACATTCTTTTGTCGTTACTTTTTGCAACACGCGTCCAAGTCACAAGGCTCTTCCAAGTTCCTATCTTTTCTGTGCTTACGACTGTTAGCCCGCAGGATATGTATATATTATAGGTATTGTTGACGACCTCCGTGGCCCAGTGGTTTGTACGCTCGGTTTCATGGTGTCGCCGACTCGAGAGGTCCCAGGTTCGAATCCTAGTGGGGGCAGATGTTTGTGTGATGAATACGAGCATTTGTACTCCAGCCTTGGATGTTTAATATGTATTTCTATATAAAAATATACTTATATATGTACAGTATATGTATTCTATCCGTTACCCTAGTATCCCATAGCACAAGCCTTACAGTGCTTACTTTGGGGCTAGGCTAATTATTGGTGTGAGTGTTGGAAATATTTATTATTATTATTTCCTTTATTTCATTAAATATACATACAAAATTATATTTCTAAATATTATTTTTTTACAGTGTATAACTTAAAAAAAATAACATTTAAAAATACAAAAATGTAGTTCCCCATCGGCAGCAAGATCAGGGTCCCTGCTACCGGTGGTTAAAGGATCCAGACACAGGAACCTCCTCACTATACGGGCCGTGTCCAGAAGTACTGCCTTCTGCATCTGACTCTTGACCCAACCACCTAACGCGAGCCTCTTAAGGCGTTTATCGAGGCTCTTGGCTATTATT